CTGGCGCTTCTGTCAGTGTGCCCCAGGGCAGCTGTGGCTACAGTAGTTTATGATCATCACTGTTTTGGAGTGAGAGAGAATAATGCTGTGAAGAGACTTTGAGCGTCTTGAAAAAGTGCTAAATAAAACCAATGCATTGTTTTTATTATTTAGAACTCCTCAATACCTTGGTTCTGTTCACATACTGTTCTGCATAATTCTCATTGTACAATCTGACAGCAGTGGCACTGGTACATGCAGCATAACATGAGGACATACTTGTATCATGTGACATCACTCTACTGTGCGAGAGGTGCATGTGATTGCGTTACTCTGAGTGTTACTGTTGAAATGAGCACATAGCACCTTTTGAATGAACTGATGTAAAACTGTTGTCATGGAAACAGTAATGAGGATTGAAAGTTTCCACTTCTTAAAAGTGACATTTAATTGTTGTACGCTTCAGTTGGTTGTAGTTTGTGGAGTTTTTAAACAGTTGCAGTTTTAATTATTAATTATTATATAATAATATATAATATATAATTATTATTAATTGACTAATATTGATGTATACATGTTGATTTAAATATTTTAATGAAAAAAACATGAATTCCTTCACAAAAAATATTTATTGCTTGCTCTTAAAATTCAAAAATAAGACATTCTTAGAAGTAGCATAAAACCTTAAAGCCTTGAAAACACAGCTTACTGAAAAAAGTGCATCTTATCATTCTTGAAACAAACATTTGATGCTTAGCATTCAATAAAAATATGAAAAAGTTCAGCCAAATACTTGTGTAGAGCAACTAAAAGAAAACAGTAACCAATGTAAACTTGAAGGCTTTAAGCTAAACAAAGAGTGCTTTTCCAGCAAAAACAGTGGGAGCCATCAGCCTGTCATGGCGTCCTTCCTGAACCAACAGAGTTTAACATTTAAGTTGAAGACACATAGGCCTATATTACTGAAGTCCATTAATTAAAGTGCATCTCTTAAATTCTTCATTCATATAAAAATAACAGTCAAAACTCACCTTTTTCTTAAACTCAAAATTCAAAAATAAAATTCAAGTAAGAGTGTACAAGAGAAAAACAATGCATTGTGTAGCAAATAAAAAGGTCAACCAGTCATCCTTTCTTTTAGAGTTACTGAAAGAATACAGTAGAAGTCATCTCAGAGGATTTAAAACAACACTGAAGTCACCAACACAGATCAGAGAATCAATCAACAGTTAAACACATTAAGGATATTGAACACATGTTGAAAAATGTCCATATACGGCGGGCATGACAGTGAATAATACATGTAGGGGCTATTACGGGCGCCAATATTCCGTTTGATACAAAGAAAGACCGACTAGTTGTAAGCTGCAGAGTGGCCACAGGACGCGTCAGCCTAGTCATCAGCCTACGTCATCAGCCTACGTCACGTCATACGTCAGCAGCCTACGTCATCAGCCTACGTCAGCAGCCTACGTCATCAGCCTACGTCACACCTACGTCACAGCCTACGTCAGCTCGCCTACGTCATCAGCCTACGTCATCAGCCTACGTCATCAGCCTACGTCACAGCCTACGTCATCAGCCTACGTCATCACCTACGTCACAGCCTACGTCATCAGCCTACGTCATCAGCCTACTACGTACGTCATCAGCCTACGTCATCAGCCTACGTCATCAGTCATCAGCCTACGTCATCGCTCCTACGTCATCAGCCTACGTCATCAGCCTACGTCATCAGCCTACGTCATCAGCCTACGTCATCAGCCTACGTCAGCAGCCGCGGACTGCTATGAAAACATTAGCTTTGTGGTTTCACAGGCGCAGTTGACTGCTTAAACTAAACTTTGTACGAAACTTTGACTCTTAAAACCCACATGTGACAAAACGGAACCATCAACATCTCGCCTCAAATTGCATTAAAAGTGACATTCGTGTCTTAATTCGTTCGTATTTTAACTTTTAAAGAAATTCACGGTCCGCCATCTTGGTTTGCTTCGGCTGCCGTGAGACGCGCATGCACAGGTTTGCATTACATCATAAACAGCTGAGGCTGTGCATCTCTTCAAGGCAGTGTATCTCAGCGTTACACCGGCTTGCACTTCTCTAACACGGCACTCGCATTGCTACCGCTCGCCGCCATCTTTGTTTTGTGTGTGACGCAACGACGCGCATATTATACGTCGGTGTATTTTTTGCGTCGACGTCACCGATTACGTCGACGCGTTGTCCCAGCCCTAGTCTTCATATTTCCATTCCATCGCCAAAAGTAATCAGTTAATTACTTTAATAATGTTACTTTTATCTCAGTTTAAATTCCTCTCATTATAATTCAGAGTTTTCTCTAAATAAACTGTGACATGATGTAATCACTGAACTTTTGGATCCAACTATAACTGTTCCAAATCCTGGTTCGGAACAGGGTCTTTCTGAGTGGAGTGTGTTTGTGTCTGCTCTGGTTTCCTCCGGGTGCTCCGGTTTCCCCTATCACTAAAAACATGTACAATAGCTCTGACAGCGCCCCCTGCAGGTGACCTCACTCCCTTCTCTGTGGAGTCAGAGACAAATGTAAATTGTAAAATGCTTTGTTATTCTGGTCTGTGAAAGGCACTAAAGAAATACAGATTATTTACTAACTAAAGCACCAACATCTATAATTATGGTCAATTGAACACAGATAAGAATGCATCAATAAAATAATAGTAACAATAATAATAATCTAATTACATGTATTAAGGGAGTGGAAAGACATTTACAGCATAAAAACATTTGACAAAGACCTGGAGGACTTTACACTTTACTGCTCGATGGATTCTAATAATTACTTATATTTAGGGAGAAAACAGCACATTTAGTTTGAACTGAAATTGAACCCTTTCAAAAAAAGATAGTACGTGTAAACTTAAGACCAGGTCTGCAAATTAGCTGTTAGCGGTTAGCTCGGTACCTGTAACAATACAATACAATACAATACAATTTATTCTTGTATAGCCCTAGGTCACAACAGAAGTCATCTCAGAGACTTAACAAAACCATTGAAATCACCAACACAGGTCAGAGAATCAACAGTTAAAACACATGAAGAATATAAAGCACACACAGAAGAAAATGTCCATACATGTTGTAGAATGCTAAAGTGTCCTGATCATCACCAATCCTTTCTGTTGGACACTAACTGTCCAACAAGACCCTCCTGCATCGACAAGGAACAACTCTTAAAAAACCCAGTGGGAAAAAGTGAGAAACCTTGGAGGAGAACTAGGGAAACCCACAGGGAGGGAGACCCATATGAGAAAGGGATCCGCTCCTCCGGACGGACAGACTAATGATCTAGGACCTAAGCTAGCTACAGAACGTGGACCAGTGGACGCTGAACGTGGACCAGTGGACGCTGAACGTGGACCAGTGGACGCTGAACGTGGACAATAACGATAGTAACGATACTATTAATCCTGTCCCTATAAAATAAACATTTGAATAAATAAATAATCATACTCTAGATTTATAAAGTATTTAAGTGTGTAATTATGTGTGTAATTCCCACCTCTGCACCTTCTCCACCGACTCCCACTGATGACTGCTGTCGTTGTGTCCTTGGGCAAGACACTTAACCCCACTTTGCCCAAAGCCCCCACTGAAAGATCAAGGCTATGCTCACAGTCAGAGAGCAGCCGTCCTCCTGTGGACTCGCCACCTGCAGAGGGTCAGTGAGGGGCTGGTGCTATGAGACTTGGGTGGCATCTCTGACTGCCACCCCCCTGACCCAGAAATGGATTAAAGGGTAGAACATGGATGGATGGATGGAAGTGTGTAATCTACAGGCAAATATTTCTTTACAAAAGTTTGTGAACTATCCCTGGCTCAAGAAAACGAACTCATACGCGTCCCCCAGATGGAATTCTTATATTTTCTATTTTTCTGAGCGCTGCTGGTCTCTGCTGGTCTCTGCTGGTCTCTGCTGGTCTCTGCTGGTCCCCTGTCTCCCTCTGCTCATGGTGCTTCTGTCTGTGTATGTCACGTTAAAGATGCACTTTCTATCTCTTATTCATCCGCAATTATCAACAATTCAAAGACAAACACAAAAACCTTGGGCTGTGAAACTGCTTTTCCTCATATTTGTAAATGTTTGTAAACTTGGTGTTTTCCTGGTGCGGTGGCCCGGCCCGGTGAGCGGCCAACGGCATCGAATCTCTACATGTTTGAAGTGAAACACGGGAAGGGAAGGTTGCTAAATGAGGCGCGGTGCTGAATATTTTACCGAAAGGGGGGTGGAGTGCATCTACTCGCTCCCACTTCTTCTGCTGGAACTTCAAACGGCGGACGGCTTCCCCATCTGTCTTCACCAGAACACATTTACATTTCCTCCCCGTGAGGGATTCTGCAGGACCAAGTTAGCTGTAACAGGATTTGAATACCGCTTCTCCAAGGTTAATAGTCATTTCTGTAGCTGCTGAGGTGCTTAGGCTTTTTCAATAATTTAGGAAGGCTGCAGTCATTAGGAAGTGTTGGCAGCTTCTGGAATGGCTAATGCAATGAGCGACTGCACTCCTGTTAGCTCTGCTGCGCGGCTGTTGCTGTGTTGCTAATGAGTGGGAAGTGAGAGTTTTTGTAAAGTAAATAGAGAAAACAATGCCAGCTCTCGACAGCTGTAATTCATCAAATGTGCAGAACATGGAGACGGCTCTGTCTGCGCCGCCTCAGCCTTCTCCTGCTATGGAACAACATCACACACTATAACTTTGGACTGTTTGAGTTTGCTAAGTCTGTGTTGTTCAGGGTGGTTGGTTATCAGCGTTGTAACTGACTTTGCACAATTATTTCTTACCTGGACTTGATTCAGAAGCAATTGCGACAGACCATGAGAGACAGAAGTACACGTGTGACTCGTGGGAAACTGAACTGTTCTTTAATGACACGCTATTCCTAATTTTAAAGATCATTTTCTCAGGAAAAAAATAAAATAATTTATTATACTCAAAAAAAAAATACCAGTAACCTATAAATCAGTGAAACTTAACACACCATTGGCACAGTTCTGTTTCACTCTAAGCTGTACGTTCGGTACAAAGACCTCGGACTGAAATGTTTCCTTTGCCTCAAGGACTTGATTTTGCCTCAGACATTTCCATTATTTACACATGTCAGAGTATCGCACAGACTGAACACATTCACACTGTTAAGTCACAGCTGATTAAACAATATGACTAATTGTAAACACTTGCATTGTAGAGTCAAACTGTTTAAGTTTAACGATTGTAGTAATAATAATTAAACCGGTTTGGTGCCCTTCATGTATGTGTTTAGAGTCGTTTCAGCGTAAACATTAGTGAGGAGAGGCCGTACATGTGTCACTTTGTTTTTAGTGCACATTTTTACCCCATGGAATCATTATAATAATTATATATAATCACATTCGAGCTTTTCATTCTTTTTTCATCATTGTTTGTGAAACTCACACATTTGTGTGCACTTATTTTTCAGACTGACTATCAACGATCTTCCTTTCTGCGCCTCCTCTAATTAACCTTATGCTAATTAGTCACTTCCTATCTCTCTTGGCCACACAGTGGTCGGCCTTCTTTAAGCCTGTCTGCTGGAGATTAACTCCTATCGCCTAAAGACCTCGACATGATGCTGATCACAGTAATCCAGGTGCTTTAATGTCTTCCATGAGCTTTACCCTTCGCTGTCAGATGTTGTCGCCATATTCTCCTGTATTTTTAGTTTAAAACCCTTGGACAGTCTAAGGGCACGGTCACAGAGGTTTTCACGAACAGCCATGTTCCCCGATCGTCGCCACAGAATACGGCCGCGGTCTGAAAGCTTTTTTTTCCAACGTTCCCAAATGTGTGTGTTGTACAACGCTCGGTCCAGCTGGTGGCGCTAATAATAACTTCAGCGACTGCCTCGAGATCAGAGTTAAGTTTCTGTTTCTCTTCCTGTTTACACTCGGCCCCTGAGGCCACAGCTCGAGCACGATGTTTGGATCAGAGTCAAAGTTTACAACTGTGTGTGTGTGTGTGTGTGTGTGTGTGTGTGTAGAACAAGGGTCAGAAGGCCTCAGAGTCTGAGAAATGAAAAGTGCGGCATACGATCGACCGGAGCAGGATTCAAGTGAAAGTTTGTGTGTTTTTGGCACAAAATAAAGTCTGAAGTGTTGTTGGAACAAGAGTGCAGCCCTTCGGCCCTGGAGCAACACACTCCCCTCGACCATGGTCCCCTGAGCCCCTCAACCACGGCCCCCTGAGCCCTCTGGCAGAGAGAGAGAGAGAGAGAATTTTCTCCAATAAATGGACATAAAGGAGCCAGGTGCAAAAGTCAGAACTTCTGCACCTGGCTCACTGTGGCTGTCTTTAAACGAGCCACTATAATATATATAGTGCAAAGGCAGAGTACTGATTATAAAGTGACATTCTGAAGCTGCAGTATTTCCTTATTCAAAGATGATTGACAGTTACAAACTCAGCAGTTTGTCTCGTAGTGAACACACGGGTAGTTGAAACCGCTTTGACCTAAATTCATGTCAAAGTGTGTGTTTCTAAGAAGTTGCATCAGCTGTTTTGCGGCGACACGGTGCTTGTCTTATCTGGAGCTGCAGATTCCTCTTTAATAGTAAAACACCACTTCTCTCTCTACATTCATGTACAAATGGACCATCCACGGTCGAGCTTTGAAAAGAGGCCAGCCCTTAACCTGAACGGGAACAAATCAATTACTTAAAGTTGGCAAACTGGCAATCTGCTAATTTTTTTAACATTTGATAATGGCCCTTGAGGAGTATTCTGCTTAATTAACTTGGCATTCATTTGTCGTGGTGAATAAAGCCGTTGTTTCAAAGGGGTTAGGGTTCAGCCGTGACTAGTAATGATGATTTTAACCTCACTCGACATCAGAGAGAGTCTGAAGTGACGTGAGCTCCATAACTGTGGATCTCCGTAACTGTGGATCTCCGTAACTTTGGATCTCCATAACTGTGGAGCTCCGTAACTGTGGATCTCCATAACTGTGGAGCTCCGTAACTGTGGAGCTCCGTAACTGTGGATCTCCGTAACTGTGGATCTCCATAACTGTGGAGCTCCGTAACTGTGGAGCTCCGTAACTGTGGATCTCCATAACTGTGGATCTCCGTAACTTTGGATCTCCATAACTGTGGAGCTCCGTAACTGTGGAACTCCATAACTGTGGATCTCCGTAACTGTGGATCTCCATAACTGTGGAGCTCCGTAACTGTGGAGCTCCGTAACTGTGGATCTCCATAACTGTGGATCTCCGTAACTTTGGATCTCCATAACTGTGGAGCTCCGTAACTGTGGATCTCCGTAACTGTGGATCTCCATAACTGTGGAGCTCCGTAACTGTGGAGCTCCGTAACTGTGGATCTCCGTAACTGTGGATCTCCATAACTGTGGAGCTCCGTAACTGTGGAGCTCCGTAACTGTGGATCTCCATAACTGTGGATCTCCGTAACTTTGGATCTCCATAACTGTGGAGCTCCGTAACTGTGGATCTCCGTAACTGTGGATCTCCATAACTGTGGAGCTCCGTAACTGTGGAGCTCCGTAACTGTGGATCTCCGTAACTGTGGATCTCCATAACTGTGGAGCTCCGTAACTGTGGAGCTCCGTAACTGTGGATCTCCATAACTGTGGATCTCCGTAACTTTGGATCTCCATAACTGTGGAGCTCCGTAACTGTGGATCTCCGTAACTGTGGATCTCCGTAACTGTGGATCTCCGTAACTGTGGATCTCCGTAACTGTGGATCTCCGTAACTGTGGATCTCCGTAACTGTGGATCTCCGTAACTGTGGATCTCCGTAACTGTGGATCTCCGTAACTGTGGATCTCCGTAACTGTGGATCTCCGTAACTGTGGATCTCCGTAACTGTGGATCTCCGTAACTGTGGATCTCCGTAACTGTGGATCTCCGTAACTGTGGATCTCCGTAACTGTGGATCTCCGTAACTGTGGATCTCCGTAACTGTGGATCTCCGTAACTGTGGATCTCCGTAACTGTGGATCTCCGTAACTGTGGATCTCCGTAACTGTGGATCTCCGTAACTGTGGATCTCCGTAACTGTGGATCTCCGTAACTGTGGATCTCCGTAACTGTGGATCTCCGTAACTGTGGATCTCCGTAACTGTGGATCTCCGTAACTGTGGATCTCCGTAACTGTGGATCTCCGTAACTGTGGATCTCCGTAACTGTGGATCTCCGTAACTGTGGATCTCCGTAACTGTGGAGCTCCGTAACTGTGGAGCTCCGTAACTGTGGAGCTCCATCACTGTGGAGCTCCATCACTGTGGAGCTCCATCACTGTGGAGCTCCATCACTGTGGAGCTCCATCACTGTGGAGCTCCATCACTGTGGAGCTCCATCACTGTGGAGCTCCATCACTGTGGAGCTCCATCACTGTGGAGCTCCTGGGCTGATGCGAGTGAGACGTATCCACTCAAGCTTCCTGTTTCTACTGGAATTCAGTGTAAATAATAATTAGTGCTTTGTCGTATCGTATGCTTTGTACACACTGTAAACCCTGAAGTAAAGTGTGCTTGAAAAAACCTTGGAAATGAATTGCACATTAACTTCACTTGAATTCCTCGAGTACAATGTTAAGTTAATGCAGCTTCCTGGGAGTTCCCTTCTGCAAAACACCAACTCTAGATTATCATGTGTTTAACTTGTGTGACGATAAGTTTTGTAAATAATGAATTGAATTGAACATTTTTAACTAGATGTTGCAGTGAACTCAATTGATTGCAATAAAGTTTGACTGTGTTTTCAACTTATACATATATCAGAAAGGCCCTAGTCCTACTGGGATTCGAACTCAGAACCTACGCTCGTTGGAAAACACTTACTTACTTGCTGCCTCCACATCTCTAAAATCCAAGTTAAAAAGGCGTTGTGTGATTATGGTTTTGAGCCGTTGTTCCTGAAGTGATTCATTGAAGCCGAGAGCACTTTTATTTTATTTGCAGCTAAAATATCAAACACTCAGAGCCACAAAAATCAACTTCAGCAAAAGTTCAAATGCTCCTTTTCATCCAATTCATATTTTCATAAAAGTAATAAAATAGAATGGAAATTAATTTAACTCTGGAAATGTGTATGAAGTGCATCTAGAAAGATAGATACTGACACACACTGACACACACAGACACACACTTTATTGATCCTTGTTGGAGAAATCTAATTACATAAAACATAAATGTATCAATAATCGTTTCACAATAAATCGTAATCCTGAGGTGGACTAATATTCCCACTTTTGCCAATGATCAGTTTTTCCTCTGGTTCAAACGCCTTCATCAGGACTTCAGCCTGTTTGCTTCAAACGCCTTCATCAGGACTTCAGCCTGTTTGGTTCAAACGCCTTCATCAGGACTTCAGCCTGTTTGCTTCAAACGCCTTCATCAGGACTTCAGCCTGTTTGGGTCAAACGCCTTCATCAGGACTTCAGCCTGTTTGGTTCAAACGCCTTCATCAGGACTTCAGCCTGTTTGGGTCAAACGCCTTCATCAGGACTTCAGCCTGTTTGGTCAAACGCCTTCATCAGGACTTCAGCCTGTTTGGGTCAAACGCCTTCATCAGGACTTCAGCCTGTTTGGGTCAAACGCCTTCATCAGGACTTCAGCCTGTTTGGTTCAAACGCCTTCATCAGGACTTCAGCCTGTTTGGGTCAAACGCCTTCATCAGGACTTCAGCCTGTTTGGGTCAAACGCCTTCATCAGGACTTCAGCCTGTTTGGTTCAAACGCCTTCATCAGGACTTCAGCCTGTTTGGGTCAAACGCCTTCATCAGGACTTCAGCCTGTTTGCTTCAAACGCCTTCATCAGGACTTCAGCCTGTTTGGGTCAAACGCCTTCATCAGGACTTCAGCCTGTTTGGGTCAAACGCCTTCATCAGGACTTCAGCCTGTTTGGGTCAAACGCCTTCATCAGGACTTCAGCCTGTTTGGTTCAAACGCCTTCATCAGGACTTCAGCCTGTTTGGGTCAAACGCCTTCATCAGGACTTCAGCCTGTTTGGGTCAAACGCCTTCATCAGGACTTCAGCCTGTTTGGTTCAAACGCCTTCATCAGGACTTCAGCCTGTTTGGGTCAAACGCCTTCATCAGGACTTCAGCCTGTTTGCTTCAAACGCCTTCATCAGGACTTCAGCCTGTTTGGGTCAAACGCCTTCATCAGGACTTCAGCCTGTTTGGTTCAAACGCCTTCATCAGGACTTCAGCCTGTTTGGTTCAAACGCCTTCATCAGGACTTCAGCCTGTTTGGGTCAAACGCCTTCATCAGGACTTCAGCCTGTTTGGGTCAAACGCCTTCATCAGGACTTCAGCCTGTTTGGGTCAAACGCCTTCATCAGGACTTCAGCCTGTTTGGGTCAAACGCCTTCATCAGGACTTCAGCCTGTTTGGTTCAAACGCCTTCATCAGGACTTCAGCCTGTTTGGTTCAAACGCCTTCATCAGGACTTCAGCCTGTTTGGGTCAAACGCCTTCATCAGGACTTCAGCCTGTTTGGTTCAAACGCCTTCATCAGGACTTCAGCCTGTTTGGTTCAAACGCCTTCATCAGGACTTCAGCCTGTTTGGGTCAAACGCCTTCATCAGGACTTCAGCCTGTTTGGTTAAAACGCCTTCATCAGGACTTCAGCCTGTTTGGGTCAAACGCCTTCATCAGGACTTCAGCCTGTTTGGGTCAAACGCCTTCATCAGGACTTCAGCCTGTTTGGGTCAAACGCCTTCATCAGGACTTCAGCCTGTTTGGGTCAAACGCCTTCATCAGGACTTCAGCCTGTTTGGTTCAAACGCCTTCATCAGGACTTCAGCCTGTTTGGGTCAAACGCCTTCATCAGGACTTCAGCCTGTTTGGGTCAAACGCCTTCATCAGGACTTCAGCCTGTTTGGGTCAAACGCCTTCATCAGGACTTCAGCCTGTTTGGGTCAAACGCCTTCATCAGGACTTCAGCCTGTTTGGTTCAAACGCCTTCATCAGGACTTCAGCCTGTTTGGGTCAAACGCCTTCATCAGGACTTCAGCCTGTTTGGGTCAAACGCCTTCATCAGGACTTCAGCCTGTTTGGTTCAAACGCCTTCATCAGGACTTCAGCCTGTTTGGGTCAAACGCCTTCATCAGGACTTCAGCCTGTTTGGGTCAAACGCCTTCATCAGGACTTCAGCCTGTTTGGGTCAAACGCCTTCATCAGGACTTCAGCCTGTTTGGTTCAAACGCCTTCATCAGGACTTCAGCCTGTTTGGTTCAAACGCCTTCATCAGGACTTCAGCCTGTTTGGGTCAAACGCCTTCATCAGGACTTCAGCCTGTTTGGTTCAAACGCCTTCATCAGGACTTCAGCCTGTTTGGTTCAAACGCCTTCATCAGGACTTCAGCCTGTTTGGGTCAAACGCCTTCATCAGGACTTCAGCCTGTTTGGGTCAAACGCCTTCATCAGGACTTCAGCCTGTTTGGGTCAAACGCCTTCATCAGGACTTCAGCCTGTTTTGGTTCAAACGCCTTCATCAGGACTTCAGCCTGTTTGGTTCAAACGCCTTCATCAGGACTTCAGCCTGTTTGGGTCAAACGCCTTCATCAGGACTTCAGCCTGTTTGGGTCAAACGCCTTCATCAGGACTTCAGCCTGTTTGGGTCAAACGCCTTCATCAGGACTTCAGCCTGTTTGGGTCAAACGCCTTCATCAGGACTTCAGCCTGTTTGGTTCAAACGCCTTCATCAGGACTTCAGCCTGTTTGGGTCAAACGCCTTCATCAGGACTTCAGCCTGTTTGGGTCAAACGCCTTCATCAGGACTTCAGCCTGTTTGGTTCAAACGCCTTCATCAGGACTTCAGCCTGTTTGGGTCAAACGCCTTCATCAGGACTTCAGCCTGTTTGGTTCAAACGCCTTCATCAGGACTTCAGCCTGTTTGGGTCAAACGCCTTCATCAGGACTTCAGCCTGTTTGGGTCAAACGCCTTCATCAGGACTTCAGCCTGTTTGGTTCAAACGCCTTCATCAGGACTTCAGCCTGTTTGGGTCAAACGCCTTCATCAGGACTTCAGCCTGTTTGGGTCAAACGCCTTCATCAGGACTTCAGCCTGTTTGGTTCAAACGCCTTCATCAGGACTTCAGCCTGTTTGGTTCAAACGCCTTCATCAGGACTTCAGCCTGTTTGGTTCAAACGCCTTCATCAGGACTTCAGCCTGTTTGGTTCAAACGCCTTCATCAGGACTTCAGCCTGTTTCCTGTTCACGGTAAATAACTTCTGTGACATAAATAACTCAGAGGTTTCCCAGACGCAGAGGAAGCTTTGATGTTCCAGAAGCTTCTGTTTTAAACACTTACAAACCTATTGTTCTCTCTGACCTTTAGGAACGTGTTTGTGAATGTCAGGATTCTGGCTCCGAGCCTGCTCCCACCTCACACTCTGCCTCACTCTTCCCTTCTGTTCCTCCTCTTCCTCCTCTTCTCTTCTGTTCCTCCTCTTCCTCCTCTTCTCTTCTGTTCCTCCTCTTCCTCCTCTTCTCTTCTGTTCCTCACTCACTCTTCCTCACTCTTCCCTTCTGTTCCTCCTCTTCCTCCTCTTCTCTTCTGTTCCTCCTCTTCCTCCTCTTCTCTTCTGTTCCTCACTCACTCTTCCTCTTCTTACTCCTCTTCCTCACCCTTCCTCGCTCGTCCTCCTCTTCCTCACTCTTCCCTTCTGTTCCTCCTCTTCCTCCTCTTCTCTTCTGTTCCTCACTCACTCTTCCTCTTCTCACCCCTCTTCCTCACCCTTCCTCGCTCGTCCTCCTCTTCCTCACTCTTCCCTTCTGTTCCTCCTCTTCCTCACTCTTCTGTTCCTCCTCTTCCTCCTCTTCTCTTCTGTTCCTCCTCTTTTCTGTTCCTCACTCACTCTTCCTCACTCTTCCCTTCTGTTCCTCCTCTTCCTCACTCTTCCCTTCTGTTCCTCCTCTTCCTCACGCTTCCCTTCTGTTCCTCCTCTTCCCTTCTGTTCCTCCTCTTCCTCCTCTTCTCTTCTGTTCCTCCTCTTCCTCTTCTTCTCTTCTGTTCCTCCTCTTCCTCCTCTTTTCTGTTCCTCACTCACTCTTCCTCACTCTTCCCTTCTGTTCCTCCTCTTCCTCACTCTTCCCTTCTGTTCCTCCTCTTCCTCACGCTTCCCTTCTGTTCCTCCTCTTCCTCCTCTTCTCTTCTGTTCCTCCTCTTCCTCCTCTTCTCTTCTGTTCCTCCTCTTCCTCCTCTTTTCTGTTCCTCACTCACTCTTCCTCACTCTTCCCTTCTGTTCCTCCTCTTCCTCACGCTTCCCTTCTGTTCCTCCTCTTCCCTTCTGTTCCTCCTCTTCCTCCTCTTCTCTTCTGTTCCTCCTCTTCCTCCTCTTCTCTTCTGTTCCTCCTCTTCCTCCTCTTCTCTTCTGTTCCTCACTCACTCTTCCTCACTTGTCCTCACTCTTCCTCCCCCCTCTGCTAACCGGTACAAACGTCCTGCATTATTGAGGGTTCGCATCCCGCTGCGCTGGCCGTGTGGGCTGCAGGACACGATGGCTTTGGGGAAACTTCAACTGTTATTTGTAATAATGTGGTTGATTACTGTTGCCATGTCAACGCTTCCATTGGCTCTCACTTCCTGTCACTTTAAATGTATCCAGTAAAAAAGATCTTAAGTGCTTTTGTGTGTATAAACCCCCCCCCCCCCCCCATGTTGTGGCCCACCTCTGTTTGTGGAGTTCCGCGGCTCCCTCCCCAGGCCCAGGAGCTCGGGGTGTGCTGAGCTTAAGTAGAGCTGTACTTGTAGACTCGCTGGTCTCTGGAGTGGGGCTGATGATAATTACTGTAGAGAGAGGCCCTCCTGGGAGTGTGTGTGTGTGTGTTTATGTGTGTATGTGTGTGTTTATATGTGTGTGCGTTTATGTGTGTGCGTGTGCCAGCTGCTCTCAGTACTGTGCTGCCATCCTCTGCACCTCTGTGTCTCATTCATCAGCTGCCAAATCCTACATTAACAAGAAGAAGATGTACTGTTTGGATCTCACAATGGAGAAGTTCAGTTCGATGTATAGTCATTTACACATATAGCATGAAGGCATGCAGCGCTCCTTATGGGTAAAGTGAGGTAAAGTGTCTTGCCCAAGGACACAACGACAGCAGTGGGAGTCGGTGGAGAAGGTCTTGCGGTGAACTCGAACTCACAAACTTCAGGCTCAAAGGCCAACGCTCTGCACACTGAGCCACTGTCGCCCCAACTACAGTCATTCTTAAAGTTCTCTGATTTGTAGATCTACAGCAGTGTGTAGAAGAATGATCTGTTTTTGTATCATTAATGAATTAATCATTTGTTTCAAGCATAAGAATAAAACGATAACAAAGAATACAAATGACAAACTTGTGGTATCCTAACATCAGAGTAAACTACAAATATTGATACATATTTTTAACAAGAAGTCTTGCTCTTGGGGGCGACAGTGGCTCAGTTGGTAGAGCATTGAGCCTGAAGGTCGTGGGTTCATGACTTCACGACTCCCACTGGTTTACCCCCAACTACAAAATAAAACTAAATACTGATACTGTCCTTACAACATAACACAGAGTGTTACATTATACTATCGTACAGACGTATGAATAAACACATACACACATACATAAATACTAGGGCTGGTTTTGTCCTGGTTTTGTCCTGGTTTAGCCCTGGTTTAGCCCTGGTTTAGCCCTGGTTTAGCCCTGGTTTAGCCCTGGTTTAGCCCTGGTTTAGTCCTGGTTTAGTCCTGGTTTAGTCCTGGTTTAGTCCTGGTTTAGTCCTGGTTTAGTCCTGGTTTAGTCCTGGTTTAGCTGTTTTCAAGTGTCGTCCCATTGGTTTATTTCTATTGGCTCTTAAATATGTCTGATATATTTTTTGAGGCTACAGGCGTCTGGTCCATTCCTCTTTGAAAACACATGATTCTGAACTACTTTTGTAGTTTAGTGACGTCTCCCACAGGGTTTTAAACATTGTGTCTGGATTAATCTGGATTAGTCTGGATTAATCTGGATAAATCATTCACTGCATCTTTAAAATTCAGAGCTCACGTGAAAAACGCCACAAACGTAACCACACCTACTGCTTTGAAAGTGCACAATACACATCAAGCCCCTGAACATATTCTACCAGTCTCCATGAATCAGTAAAAATTATACTTTTAAAAAAATCCCAAACAAAAATGTGCTTGATTAATTAAAAAAAAGTCTCAATTAAGTCAGAAAGTAGAAAGTTCTGCTCTCGCCTGTCGCCCGTGTGAAGAAAGAAGCCCGGGTGGTTAGACTTATCCGTGGATTTGCAGTGTACAAAAAGCGCTTGAGGTTCTTTTCCATTCTCTGGTGTTTAGCTCCAGGTAACTGTCAGCGCCTGCAGGGGCCCCCAGAGCGCCCGGGGCCCCACGACTCCTCCTGCACCAGCTATTTTAGGAAGTCTGCAGCGTTTTCCTCCTCTGTCTCTTATGTGAGCTTTTGGACCACAAGGGGATCAATTAATACTGGGCAGTCTGAGATCGCTCACTCTGTCTAAACGTTGTATAATAAATAACACACATGGGCTCTCTTCCCACATGCTTCTCAGGCAGTTGTTAATGCACCACACAATCACAAACTATTGAATGCTGTGGGAAGAGTGCTAATAATAATGCTACTGTTAAAGTGATAGTCTGCAGTTTGTCAGAAAGAGACAGAGGTACTTGATTTGAGAAAAATGACGCAAGCTCCTCCCCCTTCCTTTTGATTGGTCGACGCCTATGTGTCCGTAACACCTTAATTATTAATACACATGCACAGAGGTTTTCAGAATTATTTGTTAACGTTTTCATGAAAAAAATGTTTTTATGCACACAAAAAACGATTGCGGCAAACCTGGAAGAAGCTATTATCATGAATTGCACATTATAGGAACATCTGCAGAGGATCTGATTATGGATATAGGTTCATATATAAATGATTATGGATATAGGTTCATATATAAATGATTATGGATATAGGTTCATATATAAATGATTATGGATATAGGTTCATATATAAATGATTATGGATATATGTTCAGTATATAAATGATTATGGATATATGTTCAGTATATAAATGATTATGGATATATGTTCAGTATATAAATGATTATGGATATAGGTTCATATATAAATGATTATGGATATAGGTTCATATATAAATGATTATGGATATAGGTTCATATATAAATGATTATGGATATATGTTCAGTATATAAATGATTATGGATATATGTTCATATATAAATGATTATGGATATAGGTTCATATATAAATGATTATGGATATATGTTCAGTATATAAATGATTATGGATATATGTTCAGTATATAAATGATTATGGATATATGTTCAGTATATAAATGATTATGGATATATGTTCAGTATATAAATGATTATGGATATATGTTCAGTATATAAATGATTATGGATATATGTTCAGTATATAAATGATTATGGATATAGGTTCATATATAAATGATTATGGATATAGGTTCATATATAAATGATTATGGATATATGTTCAGTATATAAATGATAATGGATATAGGTTCATATATAAATGATTATGGATATATGTTCAGTATATAAATGATTATGGATATAGGTTCAGTATATAAATGATTATGGATATAGGTTCAGTATATAAATGATTATGGATATAGGTTCAGTATATAAATGATTATGGATATAGGTTCAGTATATAAATGATTATGGATATAGGTTCAGTATATAAATGATTATGGATATAGGTTCAGTATATAAATGATTATGGATATGATATAAATGATTATGGATATATGTTCAGTATATAAATGATTATGGATATATGTTCAGTATATAAATGATTATGGATATAGGTTCATATATAAATGATTATGGATATATGTTCAGTATATAAATGATTATGGATATATGTTCAGTATATAAATGATTATGGATATATGTTCAGTATATAAATGATTATGGATATATGTTCAGTATATAAATGATTATGGATATATGTTCAGTATATAAATGATTATGGATATATGTTCAGTATATAAATGATTATGGATATAGGTTCATATATAAATGATTATGGATATAGGTTCATATATAAACGATTATGGATATATGTTCAGTATATAAATGATAATGGATATAGGTTCATATATAAATGATTATGGATATATGTTCAGTATATAAATGATTATGGATATAGGTTCAGTATATAAATGATTATGGATATAGGTTCAGTATATAAATGATTATGGATATAGGTTCAGTATATAAATGATTATGGATATAGGTTCAGTATATAAATGATTATGGATATAGGTTCTGTATATAAATGATTATGGATATAGGTTCATATATAAATGATTATGGATATATGTTCAGTATATAAATGATTATGGATATATGTTCAGTATATAAATGATTATGGATATAGGTTCATATATAAATGATTATGGATATAGGTTCATATATAAATGATTATGGATATATGTTCAGTATATAAATGATTATGGATATAGGTTCAGTATATAAATGATTATGGATATAAGTTCATATATAAATGATTATGGATATAGGTTCAGTATATAAATGATTATGGATATAGGTTCATATATAAATGATTATGGATATAGGTTCATTATATAAATGATTATGGATATAGGTTCATTATATAAATGATTATGGATATATGTTCAGTATATAAATGATTATGGATATAGGTTCAGTATATAAATGATTATGGATATAGGTTCAGTATATAAATGATTATGGATATATGTTCAGTATATAAATGATTATGGATATAGGTTCATATATAAATGATTATGGATATAGGTTCATATATAAATGATTATGTATATAGGTTCAGTATATAAATGATTATGGATATAGGTTCAGTATATAAATGATTATGGATATAGGTTCAGTATATAATAGAGACTTGATTCTGAGGCTCCGTGAAAATGAGCAGCTACGAGCATCAGCGCTGATGATTGACAGCCCTTGGCATCACCTGATTGGTTAACGTGGACGGCATCGTGGATTCTGAGCTACAGCTAAGAGAAGGGAAGGCGGGACTTAACTTTAATATTAGAATCAATAAAATTACTTATTTTATATCAACATTTAAGGCCAGGAGGTCAATTTAATACAATTCTTACAATTTGTAATTAATTTAAAGTTCCATACTATCACTTTAAGGACGCTAGTATTGTTGTAATGTTATCTTCATCATCATCACCATCGTCACTATTGCTATTATATTGTTATTTGGCCTCTCTCCTCTCGCCTCTGTTAACTTACACCATACCACCAAGTCCCATCAATACGCTTGGATAATTAATCAATGCACACAAAAAATAAAGTTCTGTTGTTGTGGTAGAAAAGTAGAAGTTATTGTGTTTCAAAACATTCTGTCAATTTCACAAAGGTTTCCAAATGATGTTGTTAGATCATTTGTCTTCCCCTCCTTGGCATCTCAAACGGCTTCTCTCTCTCACAATAACTCTATCCACAAGACGCAGTGTTTAGTCCAGGCTCAAGGAACACGTCTAGAGTAACACTCTAGGATGCTCACTTTTATCTACATTTCAATGTTTTCTTGTAGATAGTTTGATACTTTATTGATTCCTGTTGATCCCAAACATACAAAACCAATAAATGTATAATTCTAAAAATATCTAGCAATATTAGAATACAACAGCCCTTTACTTGTGAATTATGAATGACTATTTAAAGAAGTGTGTAAAAATGTGGCCAAAAGTGGTACTGCAGCCTCTCCCACTCTCCCTGACTCAGGTTGCCAGATATGCAGACGAATCCAGCTGGGACCATAACAGCTGAATAGACAAGAGTTTTGTCAACAACAAATCTATAACCAACACCTTTTTCACAAAGATAGAACTCCTGGTTTTATTCCTCGTTTTGTACGAGAGCTTTTTTAGTTCTGCCCCACATGGTACTTTACCAGTGAGATTAGCTCCATGCGGTGAGTTCTGGCGCCCGGATCACAGACTTTCTGATTGGTGAAACGGTGGAGGGCGGGACATCGAAATGAAAACAATAACAAATTTTACAATTTAGAGACTGGAAAAGTCATTTAGAAATTCAAATATCATCATTGAGGATATATACATTTTTGGATTTATGGTAGCAGGGTTCCTCCTGATTGGATTTGGAGTTGGCTCGATCTACCGCAAAGTTGGAGGGCTGTCCACTCAGAAGATTTACGAGCGGCTGTCCGCGGAAAACAAGGAGAGTTTCCGCGAGTTGGTCAGAGTCGTGGCCGAGGGCACAGTGGGGACACAACGGGGGGTGAGTCGGATCGAACATTCCCTTTCAGATCTGGGAGTGAGATCTTTGGATGGACTTAAACGCGTGGAAGGATTGATTGAAGGACTTTGGGCCTCACGGTGGAACCTCGTACTGACGTGGTCAACTCCGGATAACGGTGAACGGAGGGTCCAGTTCCAGTATAATTTGGACATATTGGCTTTAGTTACACTGCCTTTCATTGATCAGCTAAAGTGCTTATACAAATTTCCCACAAGGCATGTGTTGTTTTGTCTCCAATGTTTGCACCTGCGCTATCTTTGTCCTTCACATTCCACCACCACTGCTACCGGCTACTCAAGGCCGACACTGGACTCTATCTAACTCAGACTCACAACCCAGAACACCAACTACAGTCCCCCCCCCCTTCTACATGTCTGCCTCCCTCTCTTTTCAGTCTATGGTGGTCTTCCCCTCCACCTCCCCCACCCACACTCCCCTCTGACGCGCTGTATTGGACGAGGCGGGCCAGAGTGATGACTTCCCTTTAAAAAGATCCGCATGTTTTCCACATGTACCGTGTCTCTCCCATGTTTGTTTGAAATATGTGTCTGTTTTGCTCTATGCTGTTGAATAACTGTCATAAGGAGCGCGGAAAATTAGAGTATGCGGCCGGCCTTGATGTTTATTCATCGAACTGAATTTCTCCATCTGTGTGAGATAATAAAGGATTGATTGATTGATTGATATCGCTGAACTACTGTTATCAGTTAAAGAAGGATTGGAAAAGAGCAGTTTATTATTATGACAGATTAGTGCTCTTTAATAATGATGACAGATTAGGGCCCTTTAATGATGACATATTAGGGCCCTTTAATGATGACGGATTAGGGCCCTTTAACGATGACAGATTAGGGCCCTTTAATGATCATCTACTTTACACATAAACATAAACGTATGTATTAGTTTTAGTCTCATCTGAAGACTCGTCAGAATCAAAATGAGAACGGTTTTGTCGTGTTTTGTCACAAATATGGAAATGCCTGAAACCTGCACTTTCCGTTTTAAAGAAAAGTCCTGCATTCCTGAGACTCTCATTTTGTTTTAGTCAAATATAGAAGCAGACGAGGACTGACAGACGGAGATGCGAACCCAGGAGCTGATCCTCCCGAAGGCAAACAGACCCTGGAGCTCCCTGACAGCAGCCGATGAGTCCAGAACAGAACTCCCGCCGCCGCATTGTTAAAGTCACTCAGACACTATAGAGGAAGAGGGATGATTTATTTAATATTTATTACTTCAGCACAGGTTCATTCTGTTAACTCATTGACTGCTGCCGTTTTTGATGGTTTCACTGATTCTCAAGACCCACAGAATATTATTTCCTCAGACTATGTGAAATATGAAACCAGATTCTGAAAGACTGGATTGTCTACTTTCATCAACAAAAATAAGTTTGTTTCTAGCTATTTTTGTTGTCCTGTAATCCCCGGGCGAATAGAGGGTATCAGGCAAATATGTCATTGGCAGTAAATGATTTAAGTGAGTTTGAATCAGTTTATTCATTCATTTTCATCCCCTTTTATTAGTCCATATCTGGGGCCTGCTAGTGGTGAGTCCACAGGAGCCTTGGTCTTTCAGCGGGAGCTTCAGGCAAAGTGGGGTTAAGTGTCTTGCCCAAGGACAAAACGACTGAGATTAAGATATTTCAGTGTTGCATCACAAGTAGGGTTGCCAAGATATACCTGTTTTACGGTAATCGCGATTATAAAAGCCCGCTGTAGGTTATCCATAAGGGTTATTAGATGTATGGTCAAACACATTAATCGTGTGACAAAAAATGACTGCGTTAACAAGTCAAAACAGGATACTTTGGCCAGCACTAGTTATTTAATCAAGTCTCCTTTTGTACAAGAGAAGGAGAGGAACACGTTGTAGGAGCTCTGGTGTGTGCTGCCTTCTGTCTGCTGCACACTGGGGGAGTCTTGCACAGTTTTTCCAATGTGGTTGTACTGCTAATGGGAAATACTTTCTTGAATCTGAACCTCAGGCCCCATATGATGAAATAGACTTGATATTTATAGACATATTTGCGAGTCACAGACAGTTTGAAAATCAGCACCAGGGACAGCTCCACTGCCTGTGTTGCTACATTCACACTGGCTTTGCACAATTAAACCATAGCAACTGAATAACTTACAAATCGTTATGCAATTCATGATGTTTGTAAGTAAACTGTCTGCACCATGAGCACATTCTCCACGTTCTGCTGAATATTCACAGCTCAGAAAATTCTCACAAGAAAGCATCATTTATACCCCAGCATAATTTACCTCACAGTCCTTGTTTTCCCTTTGCTTTAATGGCTTTTCTCCTTAACGACTCCCCGAAGATCTTTCCTGTGAAAACATTTGCATACACAGCCAGACACACACACAAACACATGCACAAAACACACACACACACACACTGAAACACACACACAAACACACTGGAGTCTTAGTCTGACACAGTTTGTGCAGCTCCGTTACATTAAAAAGCCAATTTCTTTTTAATAGCGACAACAGCTGGAGTTGACAGGGCCTTTTGTCTGCTGATGGGGCAAACTCACCCGACTTGCATCTTCGCCCCTGTGTGTCTCAAAGCTGGGATTGGAACCTATGACAGAGGGGGGTTGTCTTGCTCATACGTTTCAGGACGTGGCTCAACGTGAAGGCAAACCGTTTTTCTTCTTACAGGACTCTGAGAATGCTTTTTGACTGTACTCATTATGTCAACTCTCCTGTATTCTCTTTGTTTTCAGAGTACGTGGTTGAGTCCCCGGAGATGGCTGAACCTGCAGGAATATCAGAGCAAGAAGCTGATGCAGGACAGCGGCGTGACCGTGCAGCGTTTCTACGTGGCTGATACGGCGTCTGAGGCTCTGGAGGCAGCGAAGAGACTCAGTAAGTTCTGGACTGGTCTGTGGTCGACTGCCACTGTTCTGCTGTTCTATTGCATAGTATGTGTGTGTGTGTGTGTGCCTGTGTGTGTGTGTGTGTGAGTCCGAGAGCGGGTGCGTGCGTGTATGAGTGGGTGTGTGTGTGTGTGAGTGTGTGCGCGTGCAACTGTATGAGTGTGTGTGCCTGTGTGTGTGTGTGAGTCCGAGAGCGGGTGCGTGCGTGTATGAGTGGGTGTGTGCGTGTGTGTGTGTGAGTGTGTGCGCGTGCTACTGTATGTGTGTGTGTGTGTGTTGGTGTGCGCGTGCAACTGTATGTGTGTGTGTGTGTTGGTGTGCGCGTGCGACTGTATGAGTATGTGTGTGTGCGTCTGTGTGCGTGTGTCTGTATGAGCGTGCGTGTGTGTGTGTGTGCGTGTGTGTGTGTCTTATACCATCGGTGGTAGTAACTGTATTGTTGTTACTGTGTGTAGCGTGCAGTAAACTTTGTATAATGTGAGCTGTGGATTTCCCCAGGATGGCACTGTGCCGTCTTATTTCCCTGTACGTCATTTTTTTCCTTTTTCCTGTGAGAATCATGTGTGCAGCTTTTGAAATAAAATCTTTAATTCATTAATTCACCTTAAATAGTAATCTCACTATGGAACACCCTGGTACTTGACCCCTATTTAAAAAATCTTCTGTCGTAAACACAAATTCTACAATTCTCATGAATTATTATTTTAACCCTTTGAAGTTCACTAGGAGCACTAATCACATGAATTCCTTTTTTGGTTGACCCCCGTAGTCTTTTTAATTATCTCTACAAAATGGTTAAGATGCAGTATGACGGTAAAATGGCCTAAAACCCCAAAAAACAACAAAGAGGGAGAAGTGTTGCACCAAATGGTAGAGTAAACATGAAAGGGTTATAATACTTTTGATTATTTGTGGAAAATCAACCACACAGTGACGGGATCTTTGCCAGGGCCCAGAAGTTTATTCAGTTTCTCTCTCAGGTTTCTTCCAGGTTTTTTCAGACAGAACAAAGTCAGGATATGGTTTATATAGTCAACGTTTCTGTCACACATACGTCATACATGGAAAAACATGCGTGTCACGTCAAGAGACAATCAGAACATCAGACATTGAAAGAACATAACACAGATACACAATCGGGTCGTTGTGATCTACGCAAGGCCAGATCACTTGTATAGCAGTAATTTTCATATATATTATAACTTGTGTAAACTCTCAGTCGTGCAGGGATTAGTCAAAGCAAAGGAAGGTTTCTCACCGTCTGTACTTTTTAGCAGGATTTCCCAACGTTTGGTCCTCCATCTAAAGGACTTTATCAAGGATTCCCTTAAAGAAGTCCTTTAGATGGAGGACAAAATGTTGGGAAAACCTGCTAAGAAGTACAGATGAACACATCACTCACAAACACACACTCATTCACCCTGAACTATTGCACATGTTTTTAGTGGTAGGGGAAACCGGAGCACCCAGAGGAAACCTGTGCAGACATGGGGAGAACATGCAAACTCCACTTAGAAAGGCCCTGTTCCCAGGACCTTCCTGCTAACCACTCAGCCACCGTCCTGCCCAGTTGAGGTGTGGAACCGGAGCCAGTGGAGTTGTTTGAGGACAGGGGTGATGTGGTCTCTGGTGCAGGTGTGGGTGAGCAGGCAGAGGACAGGGGTGATGTGGTCCTGGTGTGGGTGTGCATGAGCAGGCAGAGGACAGGGGTGATTAGGCAGAGGACAGGGGGGATGTGGTCTCTGGAGCGGGTGTAGGTGAGCAGGCAGAGGACAGGGGTGATGTGGTCTCTGGAGCGGGTGTAGGTGAGCAGGCAGAGGACAGGGGTGATGTGGTCTCTGGAGCGGGTGATTAGGCAGAGGACAGGGGTGATGTGGTCTCAGGTGTGGGGGAGCAGGCAGAGGACAGGGGTGATGTGGTCCCTGGAGCGGGTGTGGGTGAGCAGGCAGAGGACAGGGGGGATGTGGTCTCTGGAGCGGGTGTAGGTGAGCAGGCAGAGGACAGGGGGGATGTGGTCTCTGGAGCGGGTGAGCAGGCAGAGGACAGGGGGGATGTGGTCTCAGGTGTGGGTGAGCAGGCAGAGGGCAGGGGTGATGTGGTCTCAGGTGTGGGTGTGGGTGAGCAGGCAGAGGACAGGGGTGATGTGGTCCCTGGAGCGGGTGTAGGTGAGCAGGCAGAGGACAGGGGTGATGTGGTCCTGGTGTGGGTGTGCATGAGCAGGCAGAGGACAGGGGTGATGTGGTCTCTGGAGCGGGTGTAGGTGAGCAGGCAGAGGACAGGGGGGATGTGGTCTCTGGAGCGGGTGAGCAGGCAGAGGACAGGGGGGATGTGGTCTCAGGTGTGGGTGAGCAGGCAGAGGGCAGGGGTGATGTGGTCTCAGGTGTGGGTGTGGGTGAGCAGGCAGAGGACAGGGGTGATGTGGTCCCTGGAGCGGGTGTAGGTGAGCAGGCAGAGGACAGGGGTGATGTGGTCCTGGTGTGGGTGTGCATGAGCAGGCAGAGGACAGGGGTGATGTGGTCTCAGGAGCGGGTGATTAGGCAGAGGACAGGGGTGATGTGGTCTCAGGTGTGGGGGAGCAGGCAGAGGACAGGGGTGATGTGGTCCCTGGAGCGGGTGTAGGTGAGCAGGCAGAGGACAGGGGTGATGTGGTCTCAGGTGTGGGTGAGCAGGCAGAGGACAGGGGGGATGTGGTCTCTGGAGCGGGTGTAGGTGAGCAGGCAGAGGACAGGGGTGATGTGGTCTCTGGAGCGGGTGTGCGTGAGCAGGCAGAGGACAGGGGTGATGTGGTCTCTGGAGCGGGTGTAGGTGAGCAGGCAGAGGACAGGGGTGATGTGGTCCCTGGAGCGGGTGTGGGTGAGCAGGCAGAGGACAGGGGTGATGTGGTCTCTGGAGCGGGTGTAGGTGAGCAGGCAGAGGACAGGGGTGATGTGGTCACTGGAGCGGGTGTGCGTGAGCAGGCAGAGGACAGGGGTGATGTGGTCTCTGGAGCGGGTGTAGGTGAGCAGGCAGAGGACAGGGGTGATGTGGTCTCTGGAGCGGGTGTAGGTGAGCAGGCAGAGGACAGGGGTGATGTGGTCTCTGGAGCGGGTGAGCAGGCAGAGGACAGGGGTGATGTGGTCTCTGGAGCGGGTGATTAGGCAGAGGACAGGGGTGATGTGGTCTCAGGTGTGGGGGAGCAGGCAGAGGACAGGGGTGATGTGGTCCCTGGAGCGGGTGTGGGTGAGCAGGCAGAGGACAGGGGTGATGTGGTCTCTGGAGCGGGTGATTAGGCAGAGGACAGGGGTGATGTGGTCTCAGGTGTGGGGGAGCAGGCAGAGGACAGGGGTGATGTGGTCTCTGGAGCGGGTGTAGGTGAGCAGGCAGAGGACAGGGGTGATGTGGTCTCTGGAGCGGGTGTAGGTGAGCAGGCAGAGGACAGGGGTGATGTGGTCCCTGGAGCGGGTGTGGGTGAGCAGGCAGAGGACAGGGGGGATGTGGTCTCTGGAGCGGGTGTAGGTGAGCAGGCAGAGGACAGGGGGGATGTGGTCTCTGGAGCGGGTGTAGGTGAGCAGGCAGAGGACAGGGGTGATGTGGTCTCTGGAGCGGGTGTAGGTGAGCAGGCAGAGGACAGGGGTGATGTGGTCTCTGGAGCGGGTGTAGGTGAGCAGGCAGAGGACAGGGGGGATGTGGTCTCTGGAGCGGGTGAGCAGGCAGAGGACAGGGGTGATGTGGTCTCTGGAGCGGGTGATTAGGCAGAGGACAGGGGTGATGTGGTCTCTGGAGCGGGTGTAGGTGAGCAGGCAGAGGACAGGGGTGATGTGGTCCCTGGAGCGGGTGTGGGTGAGCAGGCAGAGGACAGGGGGGATGTGGTCTCTGGAGCGGGTGTAGGTGAGCAGGCAGAGGACAGGGGGGATGTGGTCTCTGGAGCGGGTGTAGGTGAGCAGGCAGAGGACAGGGGTGATGTGGTCTCTGGAGCGGGTGTAGGTGAGCAGGCAGAGGACAGGGGGGATGTGGTCTCTGGAGCGGGTGTAGGTGAGCAGGCAGAGGACAGGGGTGATGTGGTCTCTGGAGCGGGTGTGCGTGAGCAGGCAGTAGATTTCTGGATGTCTTGTAGTTTTTGGACATGTGCAGAAGGGAGACCGAGAGAGTAATCCACTTCTCTAGATTACTATACTGCAGAGATTCCCAAACCTTTCCTCCTGGGCCTCCCTTTGTTCATAAGAATTAAAGACATTTTGTTTTCAGAGTCCATTGCAAGGTTTATTTCACACTTTTTAATTAATACAAACCTCAGCCCTAACTGCAGGATTTAATGTGTCCATCTTATGCTAGCAGTGTCATTTAGCCTTCTATATTTTAGTTAATTTGTCTTTCCCGCGCCCCCCACTTTGGGAACCACTGCTGTAGTGTATCCCATGAAACAATAGGACATTTTAAAATATATGCATACTGGTTATTATGTATGCTCCAACAACATATAGTAACTGCTTTACCAATAAAATATAATATGAAAAATGCCAAAAACTATGAATATATAAAACCATGTATATTTTCTGTTTTTTTCTCCTGAATTCGTGGCACATTACAGCGGCACTTTATTTGAAACGACTGTGACTAATGTTGAAATTTCGCTTCATTCTGTGCTCAGTAATTGGCTGTAATTACACGGTGTCACTGTAAAGCTGTAGTGTGGTTCTTAACAGTGTTATTTCTGCTGTTCTTCACTCGCCGCCTGAGAAAAGGACTGTGTCTAATCCAGGCTGAAGTTTTCATGTTCCATCACGTCTTTATGGTGTTTTCTGTGCACGGAGCCTGTGTTTTCACTCTTTAACAGTTTTGCGTGTTCGTATTTTCAGTCAACCGAAATAATTAGATTCACATCCACTCAGTTTCTCACGTCGGGAGTTGAGTTTTCCAAAAATGTTGTCGTTATTCAGGCAAAATAAGATGCAAGGCACATTTATATTCATTCTGGGGTTTATTCCTGTTCTATCTTCCTCCCACGCTCCAAACCGTTCTTTATATTTTATTCAGTGTCATCGCGGCTGCAGTCCAGGCGAGCTGACAGAGTCCTGGTTGGCTGTCAGCCGGTAAGGTGCCACTCTGGCGGCTGCGGCTGGACTGTGCCTGCGGGCTCAGTTTTCCATGGACCAGATTACAATGAAGACGGTATATATCTGCTCTCTGCTGTGAAGGCTGCATGTCAAGGCCAGAAACCTCTCTTAGAGTCAGGCCCATGAGTATTTTGGCATAATTCTCATAATTTGACTCTATAGTGGCCTCTCACAATAACAACAATAAGTTCACCTTTTGAGTTTTGCTGATACGACTTTTTGTCCTAACTCACAATGTGTTCTGATTGGGTCTGTCTCTGATTGGGTCTGTCTCTGATTGGGTCTGTCTCTGATTGGGTCTGTCTCTGATTGGGTCTGTCTCTGATTGGGTCTGTCTCTGATTGGGTCTGTCTCTGATTGGGTCTGTCTCTGATTGGGTCTGTCTCTTTGGGTCTGTCTCTCATTGGGTCTGTGTCTTTTTGGGTCCGTCTCTTTTTGGGTCCGTCTCTTTTTGGGTCTGTCTCTTTTTGGGTTTGTCTCTCCTTAGGCCCAGGGGAGAGAATCATTTAAGCCTAAAACTTAGTGAAAGTGCAGACAGCCTATCCTGGTCTTACCATGTGTAAACTCTGGTCCATGGTCATTTATTGTCTCACAGATGGAGAAATTCAGTTTGATGAATAAACATCAAGGCCGGCTATCTCTCTAATCTACATACGTTTTCTTTGTGAGTTTTATTGACATTGGAGTTCATTGCAAATTTCCAAAAGCCATCCTGCATTTAAGTTTACAGCTTTATTACAGACACTGAAAAATTATTTAAAAAGATAAAGTGGACTACGTTGCAGATTTTGCCTCTTGTTCTTTACTTGTGTAGAAGGAATCGGTCTTGGTTTTGGACCCACATGTGCATTGGTTGTCAGTATTAGAGGTATACAGGAGGGTTTTCCACAACAGTCAATCATTCTGGTGCTCGTCAAATATGTCCAGAGATTTTGTTCTAAAACTGGGAGTGCGTTTCTTTCCTAAAATTTGTAAAAATCCTCCTGTAAACCTTTTCAAGTTTTTTTACAAAACAATAATTCATACTTTCACCCAGCTGCATCCCACACACTGCCAGTATTGTCTCTTCTGTAAACCAATGCTGCAGCCTGGGCAATCGTCTCAGAGCTGGGAGTTGGAAGTAATATCCCTGTGAGCCGGGGTTGCCTGGAACACAATAGAATAAGGCGCTGGACCGTGGGATTACCTCCGTCTGAGTGACATGCGTCGGGCACATCAGCCGGGATTCTCTCCGTTGCGCTCGCTTAACCATGAAGTGGTTAAGTCGACAGTTCAATTGTGAGCAGGTTTTACAGTGTTTCAACTCTGAGTAAGTGCACACTGATTGATTCAAACTATTATAGATCCAGAACGACTCCCTTCACATCTGAATATCCAGAAATTAGGGCTGGGCGATATGGCAAAAAAAAAAGAATCTCCGATTTTTTCACACCAAATCCGATTTTCGATTTTAATCGATTTCTTTTTTTCTATTTAAAAACAAACTACAACTGACAAAGAAATAGATTTTCCTTTATGCAGTTTAATCTAAATCCCCATGGAGCATAAGTGTAACAGGAATTAATCCTTAAAACATGCTTGTAAACGAGATGGCTCTGCCATTGTAAACAGTGAAAATGTAGCTTAACAGTTTTATAATAACTTCACTTACAATGACACTATGCACCTTCAAAATAACTTAAATCACACAAACAAGGCCCATCGCAAATATATCAATCCTATTAAACACATGCATAATTTACATGAAATATCACATTTTTAAAACTGATTACTCAAAATAGAAATGTTGTAACAGACAGTCTTTTCCAAAAGCCTCCTCGGGTTTTCATGCTTGTTCTTTCAACTGTGCCTGAGTAACTGTGCTGTAGTACAACGCTCGGTCCAGCTGGTGGCGCTAATACTAACTTCAGTGACTCCCGCATTGTGCGAGCTTCCTGTTTACATTCTGATGCTGTAGCTAACAGCTACTGTAGCAGCTACTGTAGCTAACAGCTACTGTAGCATCTACTGTAGCTAACAGCTACTGTAGCAGCTGCTGTAGCTAACAGCTACTGTAGCAGCTACTGTAGCTAACAGCTACTGTAGCATCTACTGTAGCTAACAGCTACTGTAGCAGCTGCTGTAGCTAACAGCTACTGTAGCATCTACTGTAGCTAACAGCTACTGTAGCAGCTACTGTAGCTAACAGCTACTGTAGCATCTACTGTAGCTAACAGCTACTGTAGCAGCTGCTGTAGCTAACAGCTACTGTAGCAGCTACTGTAGCTAACAGCTACTGTAGCATCTACTGTAGCTAACAGCTACTGTAGCAGCTGCTGTAGCTAACAGCTACTGTAGCATCTACTGTAGCTAACAGCTACTGTAGCAGCTACTGTAGCTAACAGCTACTGTAGCATCTACTGTAGCTAACAGCTACTGTAGCAGCTGCTGTAGCTAACAGCTACTGTAGCAGCTACTGTAGCTAGCAGCTACTGTAGCAGCTACTGTAGCTAACAGCTACTGTAGCAGCTACTGTAGCAGCTACTGTAGCAGCTACTGTAGCTAACAGCTACTGTAGCAGCTACTGTAGCAGCTACTGTAGCAGCTACTGTAGCTGTTAGCTACTGTAGCAGCTACTGTAGCTGTTAGCTACAGTAGCTGCTACAGTAGCTGCTAGCTACAGTAGCTGCTAGCTACAGTAGCTGCTAGCTACAGTAGCTGTTAGCTACTGTAGCAGCTACTGTAGCTAACAGACAGCGGGGAACACGTTGTTTGTATCAGAGCAATGAGAACGAAATGTGAGACGTCTTTCCCCAAAGTGCAGCGGCTCAGTGGGACACGAGTGTGTGCGCGCCACGGACACGGGAGTGCGCTTTGGAATAACGAGCGTGAGAGAGCGTGAAAGATGTGGCGTACGAACGTGGCGTACGAACATAGCGACCGGAGCCTGCGTGTGTGTGTTCTGGCGATTAAATAAAGTCTGATTCTTGAACGTTTGAAGTGTTATTGCAACAGCACCAACTGTGAGAGCGAGCATCAGGCCAGAGGGAGACTGTTAGCATTAGGTTAGCTTCAACACCATAAACCCGCGGTTAGCGCGTTAGCGCTGTAGTTCTGCGCTGGAGAAAATAAAAATCGAATTTTAAAAAAAAGAAATCACCCTAAACGTAAAACTCGAATTAATGATTAAAATCGATTAATCGCCCAGCCCTACCAGAAATCTATAAATAATTCACCTTTGATCTAGATCTTTGACTCCTGTTGAAAAGGAAAACGGTTTGACTCACATCCAGCTAATGCAGGCTTGTCCAAACTCAGGCCCGGGGGCCAAATGCGGCCCTCAGAGTCATTGTATGTGGCCCTCTGCCTCGCTAATCCACAGTAGACTTTGAGCTCATATACACAAGTTAACTGTGTCATCCATCCAACTTCAGCTCAGCCCATTCAGACCTGTTGTAACTCGTTCTAAAGCCCAGTACGTCTGAAATTCAGTTGTTGACTTCATCATATCAATTGTACTGACGTGTTCACTTCCTTTTAATGATGCTAATGTAGCTGGTGAGATGGTAAACATGTGTCATTCAGCCAACTTCAGCTCTGTTATAGATCTTCATAAAGCTCAGAATAGCCCAATGTCAGTCAGGACAGTTTTTCAGTCTGTGATGTTGGCCCCTGGACTAGTCTGATTAAACTAATGTGGCCTCTTTCTAAAAAGTTTGGACACCCATGAGCTAATGGATCCCATACTGTGTGAACGGAAGGAGAAATTATAAATCAAAACGTTGAAATAAATTCTACTTTATTGTCCCTGTTGGGATATTAGCATTTGCCATCCTTCAGTACCACTCCAAGGCCGATCAGGAGCTGCTCGAAGCTGAAGGATGTGACTCTTGCACATGTTTAGTAGAAGGGGAAACTGCAGCACCTGGAGGAAACTCACAGACACAGGTAGAAGGACCAGGATTTGAACTCAGGACCGTCTTGCTGAGAACAGAGAGCATTAATCAAAAACACTCTCTCTGCAACGGGAAAAGAGCTTTCTTTACTTGATATTTTCCTTTTCTTCCCATTATAGTCATCAAACTTCTTACGCCCCTGAGTCAATACTTTTCCCTTTCCTCCTTTAACAGAAAGTATTGTACATTAAATTAAATCCTGCACAGACTATATTTTAACCTTTAACATGTTTCACACTTCTGTCTTTATCTGAGTGATTCTATCTGTGCCAAATGGGACATATACATTTCTCCTTCAGAGATCCATAAAGTCTTATCTTTGTGTGGTACAGGGGTGATGGGCTTCTAACAATACAGTTCAAACCATTAAAATCCCCAAACACAGATCAGAATCAAACCGTTCAAAACACAGAGAACACATAGTACTGGACTATAGGGAGAGACCAATGTCCATGAGTGTGTTTCGGTTAGCTACTGAAAAGCCATGCTCTCTGTATAACCCCAGCTGTTTGTGACGGCCTCAGAGCTGTCTGTAATATTGGTCACTAAACATCTGCACAAATCTGAGGAGAATGGAGAGGTCGGGGATACAGCTGTGGAGACATTTAAGTTTTTAAACGTCTGCATTTTACATACAGTATATAACTGTTCTTCATATCAGTCCAGTATAAGACCATTTCAGCAAAATAACAGACGGATCAGAAGCATCATTAACTGTGGTTAGTTGGGTTAAAGAAGGATGCAGTAACAAGCACAACCTAAAGCCCAGTGAAAGTGGTCCAGCCCCAGGATTTGATTAGATCCGGACTTTTCAAACCAAGATACGTTTGTTTTGTCCCATTGGTAAATCTTGGAATAAGGCTCAGTCAGAAAGTGCTCAAATTAAGACACATTTAGCAGAAATTGAAAGTTTTTTTAAAGCTTATTTTTCATCTGGTTTTGCATTGTACAAACCGATATCTTCTCTGCTGCTTTGAATTATTATTAATTTCCGAGCCTAAACTGCAAGTAGAATCTGCGATCCATCTCCCTGCCATGCGACCTTGTTATTTAATATCTAAAATGCTAGTAAACATTCGGCTCACTCTCCATAAGCAGTCTTGGGTGTTAACATTTTCGTTTGCTAATCCCTACTAGGTACACGCAGTTCCTTCCTGCTGCTGCTCCGTATCCATCCAGTTTTTATCAGGCTGTACCCATCTGCGAAGCTGTTGTCTTCCAGTTTTAACAAAGTTCTCAATTTCATATTTAATTGTCCTGCCTGCTGGAATGACAACGATGATAGAAATGCCATTGCTGTATTTTAGACGTATGAGTAATCGGTCTTAGACTCTGTGCGCGGCTGTCAAGTCTCATGTGTCCTTATTAGTGAAGGAGATGGTTTGATATTTGGGATCCCTGAATAATATTGTTTTACCTTGACATTATCCGGCTCTTTGATGAAGTGGATGAAAGTGTGTTTTTGCATATTTTGTGTTTTATGGAGGTGTATATGAATGGAAGTATACACATCTATCCCCAGAGCTGTCAGACTTCTGTCTTTATCTGAGTGATTCTATCAAAATGTCACATGTATATTTCTCCATCAGAGATCTATAAAATCCATCTTCTCCTCTGCTTTCTTAACGGAGAACCAAGCACCAAATCAACTTTTTTTTAACTCATAAACTGCATAAATGTTTCTTAAAGTGCTCATGTCCTGGTCCTTTTAGTGCAAGTTAGATCAAATCTGACTTTTGAGCCTAAAACGTTCTGTGTGGCGCCCTCTCTACATTTTCGGTGGCTCTGTAGTGCATTGTGACATCACTTTGTGCTGTGTGACATCACTTTGTGCTGTGTGACATCACTTTGTGCTGTGTGACATCACTTTGTGCTGTGTGACATCACTTTGTGCTGTGTGACATCACTTTGTGCTGGGTGACATCACTTTGTGCTGGGTGACATCACTCTGAGCCTGTGGTATAAAAGCAGCCAAGTCTCACACACGCCCCATCAGCAAATTGGAATATTTTGGCGACATCTAGTGGTTTAAAATGTAATTACATCTGTTCAGAGCCGCTACTGCTGAGATAATTCTGTGTTTTAAGTTCAGGTCAATTATCTTAGTAAACAATGGAATGAGACTTTCTGGTGTAAACTATTACTTTAAACCAGAAATAACAACTGTCTGTTTTTGTTTTTGATTGACAAGCGAGCTGTCAATCACAGCCAAGGCCACGCCCCCTTCTCCCCTGGTCCTCTGGCCACGCCTATTTTTAGAGATGATTTTCCGGTGTTCATGTGGGCGGAGTCAGGCTGGGTACAGAGGTTTAGTGGCAGGTGTGTTAATGGGTGAATATCATTGCACCAAATCCTCTGGTAACCCTAACCCACACTCTCTCAAGACCTGGGACTGGGACTGGCACTGAGGCAGAGGGGGACTGAGGCAGAGGGGGACTGAGGCAGAGGGGGACTGAGGCAGAGGGGGACTGAGGCAGAGGGGGACTGAGGCAGAGGGGGACTGAGGCAGAGGGGGGACTGAGGCAGAGGGGGACTGAGGCAGAGGGGGACTGAGGCAGAGGGGGACTGAGGCAGAGGGGGACTGAGGCAGAGGGGGACTGAGGCAGAGGGGGACTGAGGCAGAGGGGGACTGAGGCAGAGGGGGACTGAGGCAGAGGGGGACTGAGGCAGAGGGGGACTGAGGCAGAGGGGGACTGAGGCAGAGGGGGACTGAGGCAGAGGGGGACTGAGGCAGAGGGGGACTGAGGCAGAGGGGGACTGAGGCAGAGGGGGACTGAGGCAGAGGGGGACTGAGGCAGAGGGGGACGGAGGCAGAGGGGGACGGAGGCAGAGGGGGACGGAGGCAGAGGGGGACTGAGGCAGAGGGGGACTGAGGCAGAGGGGGACTGAGGCAGAGGGGGACTGAGGCAGAGGGGGACTGAGGCAGAGGGGGACTGAGGCAGAGGGGGACTGAGGCAGAGGGGGACTGAGGCAGAGGGGGACTGAGGCAGAGGGGGACTGAGGCAGAGGGGGACTGAGGCAGAGGGGGACTGAGGCAGAGGGGGACTGAGGCAGAGGGGGACTGAGGCAGAGGGGGACTGAGGCAGAGGGGGACTGAGGCAGAGGGGGACTGAGGCAGAGGGGGACTGAGGCAGAGGGGGACTGAGGCAGAGGGGGACTGAGGCAGAGGGGGACTGAGGCAGAGGGGGACTGAGGCAGAGGGGGACTGAGGCAGAGGGGGACTGAGGCAGAGGGGGACTGAGGCAGAGGGGGACTGAGGCAGAGAGGGACTGAGGCAGAGAGGGACTGAGGCATTATTCCCATCACAATTGTCTGGACAAATGGATGAGATTATTTATTTTGGGGCTGAATATTGTCTGGGTATTTTCTTTGCAATAATACGTTTTTAAATTCCGTCTGGAGGCTTGATTAGGTCACTTTTTAGGTCACTCATCATTAAAGGGCCCTAATCTGTCATCATTAAAAGGCCCTAATCTGTCATAATCATAAAATGCTCTTTTCCAATACTTCTTTAACTGATAACAATAGTTCAGAGATATTTGAATTTCTAAATAACTTTTAAAGCCCCTAAATCTTGTTATTGTTTTCATTTCGATGTCCCGCCCTCCACCGTTTCACCAATCAGAAAGTCTGTGATCCGGGCGCCAGAACTCACCACGTGGAGCTAATCTCACTGGTAAAGTACCATGTGGAGCTAATCTCACTGGTAAAGTACCATGTGGCGCAGAACTAAAAAAGGTCTCGTTATGATTCTCAAATCATTAACGACAAAACAAGGAATAAAACCAGGATTTCTATCTTTGTGAAAAAGGTGTTGGTTATAGATTTGTTGTTGACAAAACTCTTGTCTATTCAGCTGTTATGGTCCCAGCTGGATTCGTCTGCATATCTGGCAACCTGAGTCAGGGAGAGTGGGAGAGGCTGCAGTACCACTTTTGGCCACATTTTTACAAACTACTCCTTTAAATATCACAGATTATTTGTATTTCTGGCTTGGTTTTTCATGACTCTCTGTAGGACCATTCAAAGAGGCTGGATTCTTCAGTCCAATCACAGTCTGCATTAATACTAAATAGATTGTCTTACACTTGAATCCCATGTTCTCGGATTCCTTTTCAAAGTCTCGACAGAGGAGCTGAGGCGGGATGTCTCGGGACAGCCTGCGTATGGTTTAAGGACACACAAATATCTCCCTCTGTCACACAGTGTTACAGTTTAGAATGTGGGGCGCCTCTCCTGGCTGGGTTTGCGCTCCCCACGCTCTCACGCTGTCCCCGTCGGTGCTGCCATGTGCTCCTCAACACTTCCAGACTCTTTAAAGACCACTTTCATCTCCTTCGCTCAGACAAAGAAGCTCGGTCTCCAGTGGAATGTGCTGACAGTAGCAGTTAGCGCACACGGCTGCTGGCTTTAACCATCGGTAACTCTGCAGCTCTGAATGTGAGCTCTGTTCAGCGATCTCCTGATTATATTGGGTTTTTTTTGCTTCTCTTTTAAAGGAGCAGTATGTAAAAATCTGGCCAGAAGTATTACTGCAATCACAGTCAATATTTTGTAGTCCTCTCCCACTCTCCTTGACTCAGGTTGCCAGATACGCACCAAATCCAGCAGCAAACACATTGAATTATTTTCTCAGTTGTCTCCATTCACTCGGCCGGGAGAGCCGTGTTAATGTTGGAACATATGTCTTCAGCGTATCTCCATTTTTTTGTATTCCCTATATTTTATACATACAGCACATGATTAACTTTATTTTAATTGGGATACATGTGGTCTCGTCAAATGATTCTTTTTACAATTAAGTTTTCGTAATTGTAACAAAATATTATCTACCATGTATGTTTGGTGAAATTGTCATTATTATTGACTTGAAGTGTGTTCTGCCAGTGCTACAGAATGTTCAGTTATTTGACCATACAAACGCCAAATGAGAGAAGGCTCTCTGAAAAGCTTTGCATCTGAAAATGGTCTTAACAGCTGTAAATAAGCTTAAGTCGGTGTCTGAAAGAGCTGATGTCTGTAAGCTGCTTAGTGTTTCCACCTTCTCATTACACTCGCTCACCTCTTCTTTAGTGGCTCAACAGGGTGTTTTACTCATCATTAGGCTTTAGGACGGAGTGATACTGAGCCAGGAGATTACGCTGATAGATGCTGATACTGATACAGACATGGTCTCTCTCTCTGGTCTCTCTCTGGTCTCTCTCTCTGGTCTCTCTCTGGTCTCTCTCTGGTCTCTCTCTCTGGTCTCTCTCTGGTCTCTCTCTCTGGTCTCTCTCTGGACTCTCTGGTCTCTCTCTCTGGTCTCTCTCTCTGGTCTCTCTCTCTGGTCTCTCTCTCTGGTCTCTCTCTGGACTCTCTGGTCTCTCTCTCTGGTCTCTCTCTCTGGTCTCTCTGATCTCTCTCTCTTGTCTGTCTCTGACCTCTCTCTCTGGCCTCTCTCTCTGGTCTCTCTCTCTCTGGTCTCTCTCTGGTCTCTCTCTGGTCTCTCTCTCTGGTCTCTCTCTCTGGTCTCTCTCTCTGGTCTCTCTCTCTGGCCTCTCTCTCTGGCCTCTCTCTCTGGTCTCTCTCTCTGGTCTCTCTCTCTGGTCTCTCTCTCTGGTCTCTCTCTCTGGTCTCTCTCTCTCTGGTCTCTCTCTCTCTGGTCTCTCTCTCTGGTCTCTCTCTCTGGTCTCCTTTCTTTGGCTGTGATAGCTGCATTTCTTAACGACCCGTTAGTGTTTTTGTCCCATTGCAGGTTCCTTCAGACAGAGTTAAACCCATTTAAACTTGCTCCTTCTGCACTTGTGAGTCCTCAATAACAACAGGTCTGTGAGTTTCCAGTGAAATAAGAAATACTGGTTTTGGTCATAAATACTGGCCGACTTTGACTGTGTTTTTAGATAATCGTTGTCTTGGTACAGAGTAAGAGGCTGTTGAGGTCTACTGCTTGGAGACATGCGTTTATGGTGACAATGTGTTTGTGTTTACCTCAATGCCTTCCTCAGTCCATAGAGCCATTATTATTGCTTTACCCTGTGTGTGTGGAGCAGAGAGTTCAGCTTCACCTGTGTCAGTGGAAGGGACCGGGGCCACCTCAGGATGTCATTAGTGTGTGTGCGATGTGCCTGGTGCTGGCTGGACGCTGCTCTAATGAGGCCCGAGCCGTCACGCTGCTGCTGACTGGAGGAGGTGTCACCCGGAGGTACCGCCGCCACGCCGGGACCAGCGCCTTCTCCTTCAATGAGTGGCACCGAAACTGCATCATTAGAAACAGAGCTGCAGCGGGCACATCCTGACCAGATGGAAAGTTAATGACACCTATAGTTGACCTTTGCTTTGCTTTGCTTTTCATTTGTTGGTCCGCGGTGTCGGGTTGTTTTCCTCTGTTACACAAAGCAAACATGACAAGATGTTATGATGCGTTGCTTTATCGATGTGTGTTGACTTTTCAAACTCAACTGAGCAATTCATGAACATTTGGTCATAGAGAAGACGGTAAAAGTCAAAGTTGACGTGTGTGTCGGCCTTGGTTCACCTTCGCTCTGCTTACTGCAAAGCCATTTTCTCTGACCTTTTTAAGGCTTTGCAGGAATCATGTTTATAGAAAACTGCAGGATGCGAGGAGGCTCAGAGAGACTGTAAAAATACCATCACACACACATAGTTTACAGCACAATGGTCATTAAACTATAAGAGAAGTGATGACTGACCACTCTGACCCTCTGAAAGCTTGACTGATCCCTGGAGGAGAATGCAGGTGTCCAGTAGCAGCAGAAAAAAATAAGAAAAATAACAACTGTAAAACACAAAACTACTCTCCCTAGTCTCTCTCTGGTCCCTCCCTGGTCTCTCTCTCTGGTCTCTCTCCCTGGTCTCTCTCTCTGGTCTCTCTCCCTGGTCTCTCCCTGGTCTCTCCCTGGTCTCTCCCTGGTCTCTCTCTGGTCCCTCCCTGGTCTCTCTCTCTGGTCTCTCTCCCTGGTCTCTCTCTCTGGTCTCTCTCCCTGGTCTCTCCCTGGTCTCTCTCCCTGGTCTCTCTCTGGTCTCTCTCTGGTCCCTCCCTGGTCCCTCCCTGGTCTCTCTCTCTGGTCTCTCTCTCTGGTCTCTCTCCCTGGTCTCTCTCCCTGGTCTCTCTCCCTGGTCTCTCTCTCTGGTCTCTCTCCCTGGTCTCTCTCCCTGGTCTCTCTCCCTGGTCTCTCTCTGGTCTCTCCCTAGTCTCTCTCTGGTCCCTCTCTGGTCTCTCTCTCTGGTCTCTCTCTAGTCTCTCTAGTCTCTCTCTCTAGTCTCTCTCTCTAGTCTCTCCCTGGTGTCTCTCTCTGGTCTCTCTCTGGTCTCTCCCTGGTCTCTCCCTGGTGTCTCTCTCTGGTCTCTCTCTGGTCTCTCTCTGGTCTCTCTCTGGTCTCTCTCTGGTCTCTCCCTGGTCTCTCTCTCTGGTCTCTCCCTGGTCTCTCTCTCTGGTCTCTCTCTGGTCTCTCTCTGGTCTCTCTCTGGTCTTAGTTTTCAGCACAATGGGTCATTAAACTAAAACAGAAGTGATGTCTGACCACTCTGACCCTCTGAAAGCTCGACCTGTTACTTTAAAACCTGTTGTTGTTCATTAATGCCCTGCGTTGCCCACACGAGGTGAATGTTTATTGTTCCTACTCTAAATGAGCTATTGATGCAGCTCCAGTCAGCTGCTGGAGCTCTTATTATTCTGGAGTCAATAACACCCTCAAAAACACAGTATACACTAAAAACATGTGTTTATTATTTTTTATACCTGTTCCTTTACATTGTGTGTCATTACCTCCACATACACAAATGATGATGTCTTTGTGAAAGAGCAACACAAGGAGGCAGACAGTTATAATTATACTTATTATATGTTTTTATTATTAGAATATGAGAAGTATTCAGCCTCACTTTCCCTGAGGCTGAAATCATTACATGTATGTTCTGTGACGGTCTCGTTGGTCTCAAAAGCACATCCGCAGTGGCCAGGGTTTAAAGTATTTGGCTCATGCTGTATCTATCTCTGGATCTCTCACATTCAGTCTGGGATTTCCATCGTTACCTGTGGCTGAGGTGGTTCCATCAGACTGATTTTGTATCAACTCAGACACACTTTCCCCACTGTGTTCCATTTATGGCTACAAAATGTATCGAAAAAAATTTGTTATCGCGATATTGGTGCGTGCAATATCCATGTAAAAAAGATCCGCAATAAAATTACTTTTTTTTTAAAGACAACAAAACAGACAGACATCAACATTCAACAAGAACAATAAACAAACAAAATATATGCATTTAAATGTCATTACTGTTGTGCTTATTTTTTTTTCTTATTTTTCTCTTGTTTCAATGTAGATTGCAATTTTAGGTGAAAGAAAAAAATATTGCATTTCTATCGTTATCGCAGCCCTACTTCCATCCATCTTCCCCTTAATCCATTTCTGGGTCGGGGTGGCACCCAGTCCTCACAGCACCAGCCCCTGATCCTCCTGCAGGGGCTGAGTCCACAGGAGCCTTGATCTTTCAGTGGGGGCATCGGGCAAAGTGGGGTTAAGTGTCTTGCCCAAGGACACAACAGCAGCAGACATCAGTGGGATCAAAACCCACAATCTTCAGGCCCATAAAGCATCTCTTAACGTATCTTAATGTAAAAACACATTCTTAACAAGGCCACAGCACGTCTTTAGCAGAGTATTTCACTGATTCTCAAGACCCACAGAATATTTTGCGCTATGACTGTGAAATATGAAACCGGATTCTGAAAGACTGGGCTGTCTATTTCATCTGAAAAAATATGTTGGTTTCTAGCTAGTTTTGTTCTCCTGTAATCCCCAGTGGAATAGAGGAAAGATTGACAGAAATCACTGCTCGCAGAATAATCCATCAATGGCAGTCAATGTTCTTAATAATAATAATAATAATACATTTTATTTAAAAGCGCCTTTCAAAACCCTCAAGGACACTGTACAGGCATAGTAAAAACATTAAAATAATAATAATGTCTTATAATAATATTTTTCTCTCTAGATTCTGCTCGTGTGACGCTTCAGGTTCATTTCCTGTTTTATTTTGTAATGTGTTACTTCCTGTGTTTTTAAATGTACTTCCTGTTGTTTCACCTGTGTCTCATTAGGCTTGTATTTAAAGTAGTTAGATGTAAGATTTTCATGTTGAGTCATCATTAAAGGGCCCTAATCTGTCGTCGTTAAAGGGCCCAAATCTGTCATCGTTAAAGGGCCCTAATCTGTCGTAGTTAAAGGGCCCTAATCTGTCGTCGTTAAATGGCCGTAATCTGTCGTCGTTAAAGGGCCCTAATCTGTCGTCGTTAAATGGCCGTAATCTGTCGTCGTTAAAGGGCCCTAATCTGTCATCGTTAAAGGGCCCTAATCTCTCATTAAAGGGTACTAGTCTGTCGTCATTAAAGGCCCTATTCTGTTCTCATTAAAGGGCCCCACTCTGTGTGTTAATAATAGTTCCCATCATCCCTGAGTTGGTGCATATGTTTGGTGCTGTCTGAGGACACGTGTCATTGGTTGTGCCTACTCCCCACAGTTTGATTAGTTCCCCCCGTCGCCGGTGGGTTACATTCATTACAGCACATATGCTCACTGGGGACGGCCCGGTCCGATCCAGCAGATAGAACCTCTAACTCTCTCTGGGTCTGGCTCTCTGCCTGTATGTGTCCCTTAACAGCCAGCCTCCCCTCATGGCACATGCTCAAAGTCTTAATTAAATATCAGAGCGCTCACCAAGGCCTGCGAGCCACCCATGGATTAATAAAAACGAAGGAAGGAAAGTAATAGGTCTTGTAAGAAGGATGACCAGAGCGGGTCTGGGTCGGTGCCAGCTGCTGTCACTGCCAAACTGGACTCGGAGATGATGTGGTCTCATTACAGAGAAATATGCACGGCCCAAGGATGATGGCCGTATTACTGCGATTGAGTGTGATGTGATTGGAGCCTGGTGTAATGTTAATCTCTCTGCTTCGGTCTCAAAGATGCAGCAAATAAATACATATATATATGGAAATGGGTGGTTTTTCACTGTGCCCTGAATGCAGTGATCCGAGCATGACTCAGAATCAGAACCACTCTCTATAAATAACTCTTAAGCTAACATCACTAACACCATCATAAAAACATTATAGAAACTACACTTCGGTTTCATTTCTGTCAGCTTGGCCACATTTACATACACAACTAAAATTCTGGAAAAGGTCTTACATTTGATATTTATTGTTGCTGTCATAGCTTAATAGTAAGTAAGTAAAACTAAATTTCACAAAGCCTTTTGCAATTGTTACATTTGAGTTCACTTACAAGGGTGCCCCCTGTAGGCGTCCTGTCAGACCCACTGTGCATGTTTTTAGTGGTAGGGGAAACCAGAGCACCTGGAGAAAACTTACGCAGACACGGGGAGAACATGCAAAATCCACTCAAAGGTCCTGTTCCGACCGGGATAAATTTTCTGGAGCTGCATTGAGCAGTTGGAACCATGTCTGAAACCAAACACCGAGCACAAGGTGTTGGAGTTATTTTGCAGTGTTTTCTTTTTCTGCCTCCTGCCACCGTGTGGCGCCACCTCGATTGTTTGCTCTATAGAAGCTGTTGTAGTGTGTAGGAGAACCTCTTTCAACTGTCACTTGTATTTGGACACAATACATTTGAGTATTTCGCTCTTTTTTTGAAGGTGAGAGACACAAGTCTGAGACGCAAAAACAGTGTGTTCCAGCTTCTTTCCTCTGTTCCAGCCTGTGTTCCAGCTTCTTCCCTCTGCTCCAGCCACTGTTCCAGCTTCTTCCTTCTGCTCCAGCGTGTGTTCCAGCTTCTTCCCTCTGTTCCAGCCTGGGTTCCAGCTTCTTCCCTCTGCTCCAGCCTGTGTTCCAGCTTCTTCCCTCTGCTCCAGCCTGTGTTCCAGCTTCTTCCCTCTGCTCCAGCCTGTGTTCCAGCTTCTTCCCTCTGTTCCAGCCGGTGTTCCAGCTTCTTTCCTCTGTTCCAGCCTGTGTTCCAGCTTCTTCCCTCTGCTCCAGCCTGTGTTCCAGCTTCTTCCCTCTGCTCCAGCCTGTGTTCCAGCTTCTTCCCTCTGCTCCAGCCTGTGTTCCAGCTTCTTCCCTCTGCTCCAGCCTGTGTTGCGCCCTCCCCTCTCCTGGTTTTACATACAGTAGTTGTTCTTTTTTCTGCTCCGCTCTCATTAGACACCGACCTTTTGTGAGGGAGGCCTGTGGTGTCTGTCACTACAGCGGATAATGGTCTTCCTGCTCTTTTCCATGTTCCCTGTGATCTTTGAGGACATCATTATCCTCTCCGTGTGTTTCAAAAGAAAGCGTCTCTGCTCACGCGCTCCTCCCGGGGTTGGTTTCCGTCTCCGTTCTTTTGTAATGCACTATATTTTCATTAGGCCCGAGCCCCGAACGGGGTAAGGGCCTATTGCTTTCACAATGGTGAAAACAAATGGTGGCGGTGCGTGACGGACGCGTCAGCGCCCGTCACTCACCAAAACGTGACGGTTGCGTGCGTAAACTCAAAAGCTTTAAAATGATGTATCAGGTGCCATTGAAACCTATATTGTTTTTGCTCGAGACGTTAACAAAAAAATTCCTTTTTTATTTATTTATTAGGCCCGAGCCCCGAACGGGGTAAGGGCCTATTGCTTTCACAATGGTGAAAACAAATGGTGGCGGTGCGTGACGGACGCGTCAGTGCCCGTCACTCACCAAAACGTGACGGTTGCGTGCGTAAACTCAAAAGCTTTAAAATGATGTATCAGGTGCCATTGAAACCTATATTGTTTTTGCTCGAGACGTCGAAAAAAAAATTCCTTTTTTATTTATTTATTAGGCCCGAGCCCCGAACGGGGTAAGGGCCTATTGCTTTCACAATGGTGAAAACAAATGGTGGCGGTGCGTGACGGACGCGTCAGCGCCAGTCACTCACCAAAACGTGACGGTTGCGTGCGTAAACTCAAAAGCTTTAAAATGATGTATCAGGTGCCATTGAAACCTATATTGTTTTTGCTCGAGACAAGTCACAAAAAATTCCTTTTTTATTTATTTATTTATTTATTAGGCCCGAGCCCCGAACGGGGTAAGGGCCTATTGCTTTCACAATGGTGAAAACAAATGGTGGCGGTGCGTGACGGACGCGTCAGCGCCCGTCACTCACCAAAATGTGACGGTTGCGTGCGTAAACTCAAACGCTTTAAAATGATGTATCACATGCCATTGAAACCTATATTGTTTTTGCTCGAGACGTTAAAAAAAAAATTCCTTTTTTAGGCCCGAGCCCCGAACGGGGTAAGGGCCTATTGCTTTCACAATGGTGAAAACAAATGGTGGCGGTGCGTGACGGACGCGTCAGCGCCCGTCACTCACCAAAACGTGACGGTTGCATGCGTAAACTCAAAAGCTTTAAAATGATGTATCACATGCCATTGAAACCTATATTGTTTTTGCTCGAGACGTTAACAAAAAAATTCCTTTTTAGGCCCGAGCCCCGAACGGGGTAAGGGCCTATTGCTTTCACAATGGTGAAAACAAATGGTGGCGGTGCGTGACGGACGCGTCAGCGCCCGTCACTCACCAAAATGTGACGGTTGCGTGCGTAAACTCAAACGCTTTAAAATGATGTATCACATGCCATTGAAACCTATATTGTTTTTGCTCGAGACGTTAAAAAAAAAATTCCTTTTTTAGGCCCGAGCCCCGAACGGGGTAAGGGCCTATTGCTTTCACAATGGTGAAAACAAATGGTGGCGGTGCGTGACGGACGCGTCAGCGCCCGTCACTCACCAAAACGTGACGGTTGCATGCGTAAACTCAAAAGCTTTAAAATGATGTATCACATGCCATTGAAACCTATATTGTTTTTGCTCGAGACGTTAACAAAAAAATTCCTTTTTTATTAGGCCCGAGCCCCGAACGGGGTAAGGGCCTATTGCTTTCACAATGGTGAAAACAAATGGTGGCGGTGCGTGACGGACGCGTCAGTGCCCGTCACTCACCAAAACGTGACGGTTGCGTGCGTAAACTCAAAAGCTTTAAAATGATGTATCAGGTGCCATTGAAACCTATATTGTTTTTGCTCGAGACGTCGAAAAAAAAATTCCTTTTTTATTTATTAGGCCCGAGCCCCGAACGGGGTAAGGGCCTATTGCTTTCACAATGGTGAAAACAAATGGTGGCGGTGCGTGACGGACGCGTCAGCGCCCGTCACTCACCAAAACGTGACAGTTGCGTGCGTAAACTCAAACGCTTTAAAATGATGAATCACATGCCATTGAAACCTATATTGTTTTTGCTCGAGACAAGTCACAAAAAATTCCTTTTTTATTTATTTATTAGGCCCGAGCCCCGAACGGGGTAAGGGCCTATTGCTTTCACAATGGTGAAAACAAATGGTGGCGGTGCGTGACGGACGCGTCAGCGCCCGTCACTCACCAAAATGTGACAGTTGCGTGCGTAAACTCAAAAGCTTTAAAATGATGTATCACATGCCATTGAAACCTATATTGTTTTTGCTCGAGACGTTAAAAAAAAAATTCCTTTTTTATTAGGCCCGAGCCCCGAACGGGGTAAGGGCCTATTGCTTTCACAATGGTGAAAACAAATGGTGGCGGTGCGTGACGGACGCGTCAGCGCCCGTCACTCACCAAAACGTAACGGTTGCGTGCGTAAACTCAAAAGCTTTAAAATGATGTATCACGTGCCATTGAAACCTATATTGTTTTTGCTCGAGACGTCGAAAAAAAAATTCCTTTTTTATTTCTTTCTTTCTTTCTTTCTTTCTTTCTTTCTTTTTTCTTCTGCACTTTGAGCCTTAATTTGACCCCCTGAACATGCATGAAAAGTTGTTAAATTTTGCCCAAAAATCAGACCTGGCGAAAAATTTGATATTTTGGTGTTTATTTTAATGGGACTCAAAAAATGCCGGAACAGCGCCACCTACAACAGCCAAAATAATACCCCTATGGGACTTTTAGAGATCAAGTTTGTCGTAGAGCCATGAAATTCGGTACACATGTTACTCAAGTCAAGACAAGAAAAAAATATTATTATGGCCCCGCCCCCTGACAAACAGGAAGCCCATAAATTTCACTGCAAAATGGAAAAATGAACAGCAAAAGTTTTCATACATGTCGGTTGGAAAGCGACTCCTCCTCGGCCGTTTCACCGATTCACCTCAAAATCGCTCCACATCATCTCAACACATGTACCTTCAAAATGACCTCAGGGGATTTTTGATCAGTGAAACATTGTGTGAGCAGCGGAGCGGCAAAATGTGACCTTTTTTTGGCCGTTTTTGACAACATTAAATTTGCTCCCGTTTGCACAAACAAAGTCTGATTTGCACAAAACTTTAATACATTGTTCAACTCTAGGGTCTAAGTCATTTGAAAGTGAATTGATTCAAATTGACACATTAGCGCCCCCTACAGACCATTTCAAAATTTTAGATGGGCATTTTCAAATTTAGTTTTTTCAAAATGTTTGACATTTTGCACATAAATCTGTTTTGCCCTCTTGATTCAAAAAGTCAATAGGGTCCAAGGCTAATCTTTTACCCTGTTGCCATGGCGACGACAAACGCTCCCCTTTCATTGCAAATGTACACCTCACACAAACATCAAACCAGCCTCGGCCGTTTCACCGATTCGCCTCAAAATCGCTCCACATCATCTCAACACATGTACCTTCAAAATTACTTCAGGGAATTTTGATCCGTGAAACGTTGTTTGAGCAGCGGAGCAGCAAAATGTGAGGGTTTTTTTGGCTCTTTTTGACAACATTAATTTTGCTCCTGTTTGCACAAACAAAGTCTGATTTGCACAAAACTTTAATCCATTGTTCAATTCCAGGGTTTAGGTCAGGTGAAAGTGAAATATTTTAAATTGGCCCATTAGCGCCCCCTACAGACTGAAGCAAAGTTTACATGGGGAGCCAAACCAGCTCTACTTATCATATTCATTACAATTTGACTAACATTCTTCTATGGCTACGGAAACAAATCATCACACGGCGGTGCCACCTCCTTTTAGCGGTGCTGCGTGGTACGGTGTGGTGCGACGTAGTGCGGGGTGATGTGGAGCGGCGCGTTGCGGCTTGGTGCGGGGTGGCGTGGTGCGGGACGGCATGGTGCAGGGCGGCTTGGTGCGGGGCGGCGTGGTGCGGGGAGTGCGCGCGGTGCAGGGAGTTGCGCGGTGCGGCGAGGGCCGTTCGACGCCGCTTGCGGCTTTAATTTATTTCTTTCTTTCTTTTTTCTTCTGCACTTTGAGCCTTAATTTGACCCCCTGAACATGCATGAAAAGTTGTTAATTTTGGCCCAAAAATCAGACCTGGCGAAAAATTTGATATTTTGGTGTTTATTTTTATGGGACTCAAAAAATGCCAGAACAGCGCCACCTACAACAGCCAAAATAATACCCCTATGGGACTTTTTGGAGGTCAAGTTTGTCGTAGAAACATGAGATTTGGTACACATGTTCCTTGAGTCAAGACATGAAAAAAATATTATTATGGCTCCGCCCTCTGACAAACAGGAAGCCCATAAATTTCACTGCAAAATGGAAAAATGAACAGCAAAAGTTTTCATACATGTCGGTTGGAAAGCGACTCCTCCTCGGCCGTTTCACCGATTCGCCTCAAAATCGCTCCACATCATCTCAACACATGTACCTTCAAAATGACCTCAGGGATTTTTGATCAGTGAAACATTGTTTGAGCAGCGGAGCGGCAAAATGTGACCTTTTTTTGGCCGTTTTTGACAACATTAAATTTGCTCCCGTTTGCACAAACAAAGTCTGATTTGCACAAAACTTTAATACATTGTTCAACTTTAGGGTCTAGGTCATTTGAAAGTTAAATGATTCACATTGACACATTAGCGCCCCCTACAGACTATTTCAAAGTTTTAGATGGGCATTTTCAAATTTAGTTTTTTCAAAATGTTTGAAATTTTGCACATAAATCTGTTTTGCCCTCTTGATTCAAAAAGTCAATAGGGTCCAAGGCTTATTTTTTACCCTGTTGCCGTGGCGACGACAAACGCTCCAGATTCATTGCAAATGTACACCTCACACAAACATCAAACTAGCCTCGGCCGTTTCACCTATTCGCCTCAAAATCGCTCCACATCATCTCAACACATGTACCGTCAAAATGACCTCAGGGATTTATGATCAGTGAAACGTTGTTTGAGCAGCGGAGCGGCAAATAGTGGCGTATTTTTTTTCAGTTTTTGACAATAGAAAAATGGCTTCCGTTTGGACAAACAAAGTCTGATTTGCACAAAACTTAAATC